GGGGGTGAGACCCCCAAAGCACCCTTCATCCTCCGAACGGCACCCCTCTCTGAGAGGGGGCTGCACCCCGAGCTGGGGAGGGGCTGTGTCGCTGGGAACCAGCTGCTGGAGCAGGGGAAGGCTATGTCCACACGAGGCGTGTGGAGGAAYGGTGGCCCCAAAGTGCAGCTGAGGCTGGACCAGACACTGCTTAAGGTTCTAGGGGAAGTTTGGGGGCATACGGTCAACACACCCACAGCCCCTCCCCCCTCCCCCCGCCCCCCACGGTTGGGCAGCACAGAGGAAGTGGGTCTGGGGGCTCGATCTCACTGATGGAGTTGACCCAAACMATCCCTCCAGGGACACCCGGGTGTAGACCAGGCACCTGCAAAGCTCATCCTGAATAAATCACTTTGCAGGAGTGGGGCTGGTTTATCCGAGTGCTGCAGGGAACAGGACCTGCTATGACCTGAGACATGGGGCAAATGGACTGTCCCGACCCCCATCTCTCCCTATCCTTTCTCCTTTCTCTGATGAGGCTCAGGGTTGGAGTTGTCCCCTGCTCTGCCCTGCCTCGTGAGAGACGTCCCAACCCTTGGATCTGCCCCCTAGGGCTGCCCCTCACCCCTCTCCTCATCAGAGCCTGCACACCCCACAGCAGGGATGGGATCAGCTGTGGGACCATCCCAACCCAGGGCTGATTTTCCATCAGCTGGTGGCCCATGGGGTCCCTTCTCTCCCCCTTGGGCAAGTAGCCAGCAAAGGGCTCGGGAGGGTCCCTCCGAGGGCTGTCCTGGGACTGTGGCATTGTGCCACCTCAGGGCGCTCGGCTGTGCCAGCAGCAGGGCGAGGTGAGCTTAGTTTGGTCTGAACGATTGGTTTGCTCTGCAGAGAGAAAAATAAACCGAGGCTTGTGGGCTCCTGTAAACACGGCGCTATTTATGGAGCGTTTGCATCCCGCAGCATCTCCTCACACCTCCTCCTCTGCAGGGAAAAGTGATGCCCCCTGTGGCTGAGCCCCGAAATCCAGAGGCAAGGGGTGGGAGGGGGGTGCTCAGGATGGGCTACTGAGAGTGGAAAGGGCATTCCCAGAGATCCTGAAACCCCTCGCCCACCACCTTCCCAGGGTGAGTGTCCTTGCAATCAACCTCTGGCTGGGACCAGGGCAGGAAAACCGGCAGGTTCCTCACGGGTGTGCAATGCGGAAGCAAACGCAGGCAGGGCCTGGCTTAATTGTATGCAAATCTCCCAAACAGAGATTAAAACCACTCCTTTTCCTTTGTGGGTTTGTTCTCCCTCTCTGGATTTGTGCTCCTGAATGCTCAAAGTTAAGCAGAACCCCTAAAAACCCCCATATTATGCCAAAAATGAACTGCTGGCTGCAAAGCTGCCAGAGGGAGTCAGAGCTCTCCCCCCARCCCAAGCAGAGTGTCTCAGGGCTTGGACAAAGGCAGCCGAGGTCAAATGAGCAAATTGATGCAGGTGGTTGTGTAGACCCCATTCCTGATGGAGAGAGACCATCCTTTCATTTTCCTGATGCCAAGCTGGGGATGTGTCCAAAGAGTGTCAGGGATACCTTAAAAACCCATGAAAAGGAATTTTCTGGTGAGCATCAGACACTGAGAAAGTTATTCAGGTCTTCCAGGCTCTTTCTGGGGCGTGTAAGGAGAAAATGTCCTGAGAGCTGCAATGGGCTGTGAAGATCCCAAAGAATTGTGGGATGGCGCTGCTGTGGATAAATACCTGGGGCATCCTTGGCACACTGGCAGAGGTGGGATGAAGTGGGACAAACAGGGGACATGGTGTGGCTTCCTACACCAGCTGCCATGAGCTGGGGACAGGAGCAGCCTGTGGCCATGGCAGGARGGAACAGTTGGTGTCCGGCCCTGTGCCAGCGTGATGGACCCGAGGCTGTGGCATGTCAAGGCTGGCTGATGAGACCAAACCCTGACTGAACCCCCAGGGCTCAGCAGCAGCCAAGAAATGCTTTTCCAGGGAGACAAGTCAGGGCGTGGGGAGCTCGTTTCTGCCTGTCTTTCTTCAGCCTTTCTCTGGRGTTTGAGTTTCTGCCTCCTGCCTCAGTTTACCCACACAAAGACCAGCTCCATGGTGCCATCCCATTCGCTCATGGCAGGAGAAGATGAGGGTTTCTCCACCTCTTCCATCATGGGGACCATCCCACAGCACTTCTGGTCATGGAAAGGGGCCTCTTAATTAGGAAAGTTAATTAGAAGCATGGCTGGTGCCAGCAGCACTGGGCTGTGTGCTTGGAGGGCTGGCRTCTCTGTGAAATATTAATTAGGACAAGTGCCCCCGAGTGCCACGGTCTGGTGGGTGCACACAGGATGGCACAAGGCAAAGAAAGAAGGAGCAAACAAAGGGAAATCCCGGAGATTTTCCAAGGGGGCCTCCACTGGGCTGAGATGCTTTGGAGTGAGCTCACCCCACAGTGCCAGCCCTGGGGCCACCGCTTCATGTGTGCCAGTGACACAGAGCCCCGGGAACCTCACTCAGGACACAGCTGCCCCCTGACTTGCTCATTTTCTTTCCCATTTAATGGGATACACGGCCCTGGGAAGCTGTTTGGGGAGCAAGGAGCACCAGGCTTTTGTAGGAGGGTGCATCCTCGTCTGGGCTTGGCAGCAGATGCTCAGCAGCAATGACACAGCACAGAAGATATCCCAGGAGATAGTTCAAACCAGCAAATCTTGGAGAGTGGATGAAGGAAGGGCTGCTTCTCCTGAGCACATCCCCCCTGTCACCCAGAGCAGGTTGGGAAGGGGGTTGGCAGCACTGCCCATGTGCTGAGGGAGAAACTGAGTCACAGGAGGCGTCCATGTCCCTCAGCCCCGTGCTGGCACAAGGATGTGCCCCAGTTCCCTCCGGCCTGGGTAGATATCACACCCACGCTGCTGCAGACTTCCAAAGTGGCCAAATGGGTCAGGTCCCGCTCAGAGCCCTGCCAGATGCCAGCCAGMTGTTGCACACAGGCAGCTGGGTCACTGTGCCGGGTGCCTTGGCACAGCGSGATATTGCCAGGCTTTTTTGCTTCCCTGTCGGGAAGGAATTGCTGAGACATCWCTGTATGGAAATAAAAATCCGTGCGAGCCCAGCGAGCTCTGTCAGCGCCGTCCCTGGCAGGGCAGAGGGGTAGGGCAGAGGTCTGTCCCAAGGTCCGCCCCCGCAGCCCGATCCGCGCCCTTTGCCTCGGCGCTGCCGCCTCTTCCTCACCACACCGGGGTTATTTTAATCCCCGGGGAGTGTTATCGAGCCAGGCTGAGGGCCAGGAGCTATTCCTGCCTCCACTTCCAGCCAGCTCCATGGGGCAGGAGGGGGTTAAATCTTTCCAATCCTGCCAAGCAATTTACTGGACGGTTCAAACCCTTTCCTCCCTCTCCAGGGCCACCCCTTGGACAAACCCAGCGCTGTTTGGCCTCTGGTTTCAGCTGCAGCAGCCTGCGGAAGGGCAGGACGGTGCCTGCTGCTGCCAGCCCGGCTGTGCCGTGGGGAGCGAGGAGGGGCCCGGGGCTGGGAGTGCTCTGCAATATCCAGCACTGATGACAGATCCTTATGGGGCAAAGACTGGCCCTGTGAAACAGGGACTGCCAGGAAAGGGGAAAAGAAAAGGGTGCTGAGGGAGGAAAATGTAAAAGGAAAAATGTGAGCTCTGGTTTGCTGCAAGGGATGAATACGGGAACAGCACCCCTTGATGGATCTTGGAGATGGTAAAACCATTTTCTGATTGATCTTTAGGGAAATGCTGGGCAGGAGATGAAGAACTGAGTGAGTGTTGTGAATGGAAGAGCCCAGGGCCAGCTCCAGACCTGGAGTTCTGATGGCCTGGAGACATCTGGGGACACCAGAGGGGTAATGAAAAATGAGCATTT